ATCAAAGATTGATTTCACCTCGGTCCGTTAGGTTTCTTGATCTTTACTATATGGCTCTTGAGACCACTTAAAGTCTTGAAAAGAAGTTATATGGTCTTTTGTTTCATCTTTTGTTTGTTTGATTCTTGTTGTGCAGGCAGATACTAGTAGACGAGGAGATTCAGACAGTTCATCGATGATGAGATCCGCGGAAGAAGATGCAGAAGATAATCAAAACTGTTTGGGAGGTGAGACATCATGGGCGGTTCCGCAGATTCAATCTCCACCTACAGCTTCTGGTTTGAACTGGCCTAAACATTTTAACAACCACTCAGTGTTTGTTCCGGACATATATTCTTCAACTCCTTATACCGGTTCATCCCCTAACCAGAAGATTGGGAAACGGAGGCGACGGTGCTGACAACCACAACCATCTTTTGGCCGATCGAGGAAAATAACCGGTCGGGTTTGTCAGTAGATGTAAGATTTGGAAACTGAGTGTACTGTAGTTGTTGGTCTGTGACTGAAAGTTGAGTGTTCTTTGTTAGCTGAAAAGAGAGGGTCGTTTGAAAAAGATATTGATTTGGTTAAAGATTGTAAGACAATAGTAATATAATTTTTCATTTGGTGTTGTTGAACCAAAAAACCCAAAAAATGGATAAAAAGCAAATTAATCCAACACACAATGCAGATCAAAAGAACCAAAATTTATATATCACATTAAACTTGAGTAATCAAACAAGTAGATCATTTCCTAAATTCTAAATCCGTAGAGTTGAGATATAACAGAATCTCTTGATCAAAACTAAATGAAAAGTTCCATATTGAAGTTTCAGTTGCTGCCAGAAGCAGGAGCAGCCCAATGAGGTGGAACACGGTCGGAAACAGGCAAAGCAGTAGAAGTGGGCATGGTTCGGACATTGATGTCAAGAGGAAACAATCGATACTCAATGTCGAGCTCTCTGCAAATCTTGGCAATCTCTTCAACAAGCTGAGATCTTCTAGCCCATTTCTCTCCCATGTCTTGATGATTCATTCGATGCGTTAGCCAAACCGCAATCTTCACACTGTTCAATGACTCCATGTCTTTGAATACTATCATCGGTGCTGGATACCAATGGTCCTTCTTCCCCTCAATGTAACTATCATAATGAAATGCAGGAAGGAATTATATGCAAGGATTCAGGTATAAACATTAGTGAATTTTGTTATTCCAAAATTTACAATGTACCTTGTGATTCTCTGTTTGATGAGCATGATTTTCTCAGCTGGAGTAGCAATGTGGATGGAGAATTCGATTCCATCTCCCATATCGGGGCTACGGTAATAGTTTCCAATGGATCTCAACCAGAGTAGACTGTTCGGGTACACGACTTTCTGGTTATCAAACCTTAAGAAAACTGTTGTCAATATGTTCATCTCTTCCACAACCATCTGAAAAAGAAAATAGAGAATGTTTTTTAACATTACAATCGAAAACTGAGAAGTTTTCTTTAATTTACGGTTTTTTTTTTCCATTTACCTGGACTCCATCGATTTCGCATCGATCCCCTACATCAAACGGGTGTATGACAAACAAGTAGATGATAGATTCAAATACTATCTTGCACATGTTTCCAAATATGAATGCAACAACCACGACTTGCGAGCTCATGACCACGAGGAATTTGGTGGAAGTGATTCCAAGTATGATAAGCCAAATAACGAGTATGATTATCCCAACTATGATATTCACCATCTTGTGAAGCCTGTTCACTGCTGTTTTGGTGTCGTTTAAAGTCAATGCAAGAGCTCTTCTCTCTCTGAATGCATTCACCTGTGAAACAAATGTTTGCGCAGATTCATTAATATCACAATGACTAAGAGAGGGTAACTAAATTTATCATCCAAGCTTCTTACCACCCAGTTTTTAAGAGACGATTTGCTGATCCGATTTGTTTCAGATGCTCCTTCAAAGAGACTTAAAGTCTTCAAAGCTTCGTCATCAGGCAGAAAACGCATAATGTCCTTCGAGTAGATGAATCTAATTAAGAAAACGTGCAATTGCTACTGGTTAATACTTAATATCCATAATGTGGTATGGTCAAGGCCTCAGATGTGAAAGGAAAAAGGTGATGATTTACTTACTTTGATCCCGGCTTAGCGACATTGTGAAAGATCTTTCTTGCGGCGAGCTTTGCCTCAAACTCACTTCTGATTTGGTTTCCTTTATCATCCTCCAAGTTCGGATCTTGTAGCTGTTCATCCAATGTGGTAAGTGAACCATGCCGGATTATATTCATCAGCCTCTTCATTCTCCACGCCGAAACATTCTTAGGATTCAGCTTATGGAGGCTATCGATCGTAATTCCTTTGTTGTCCCTTCCTCCATTAGAGAGAACACGAGAGATCAACTGGCTTTTCCCAGTCATCATCGGACTTTTCTGAGCCCCAGTCGGAGTCTCAACACCACCAGGATTCTGAAACTTTCTAACTTCGACACTGATTCTCTCTTCTTCTTCCTCGTTTTTCTGTATCTCAATCAAAGGAGGACCCGAGAGCGTCTCAATCACATACTGAGTAAACAAAGACTCTTGAATCCTATCGAAATAAGTGCTCATATGGAACGAGGAAGCAAGAACCTTAACCAATAGTGTCTTCACGAGCCATAACAAGAACCCAACCAACATACACACAAAGACCTTAGTCACAACCCTAAGCGCCTTAGTGTTTGCTGCTTTAGCCACTTTCTCATCAAACAAGAAATGCCAAGCTAGTAAAACAAGCCCTAACCATAAGCAATTCTGCACGGCTTTTCGGATACCGTAGACGAAATACAAAACCCTTTTTCTCAATAGAAAGTTCCTTTCGATGAAGAAGACGACTATCTTAACGATCCAACTAGAGACTAACCTACCACAGATCAAGACCAAAACCATTGATTCCCATTTCCATAGATGAAGTTCCCAGAGTACCTTCTTACGCAAGGTAGGTATCGCAAGCGTACAAACGAAAGCAGCAATGATCAAAATCAAACTCAACCATTCCAATACAATCCATAGACTAAATTTATCTTTCCTATACTCTTCTGGTAAATCCTCTTCTGCAAATGGATCGTCTTCTTCTTCCTCTCCTTGAATTCTAGGGCTTTTCCCGAAAAACCCTGATTTCAACTGCCCTGATTTCGGAACCCGACCCGATTTCATCTCCGCCGCTTGCGGCGGCAATGGAGGCGTTGGTGGGTCCGAGAGACGTGACCTAGTTCGCATCTTAAGGAAATTGCTCTGAATCTGAGCGTTTCCACTACACTTGACAACTTCTCCGTCATCGTTGTTCTTATTGCTTCGGCTATCTCGTCTTCCAACACCGTCGGGTTTCGCGGTGGTTGCTTTAGCCGACGCCGGAGACTCGTTAACCGGAGTTAAACCCTTAGATCGAAGCTCGTCCATACCTAACTCCATATCAAGTGAAATCTCGCCGGAAGCTTGTTGTTTATGAAGAAACTGACCGATTAACTTCGTCGGAGGATCCTCGCCGCGCCGAAACTCGAAACCCCCGTCACCTTTTTCCTCCTCCGTCGATGTTCCGGCGGATCTCTCAGCATCGTCCGTTGCATTTATACCTTTATGGAGATTACCTTGACCATCAGTCCAAAAATCGTAACTTCTATCTCTCCATATCTTCCCCATCGTCTCTCCAGTAACTCCATTGTCGCTACTTCCGTTTTCATCACCGTCGATTTTGACGATTACTTCTCGCCGGTCAGCCGAATCAACGGCCATAACTCAGCCGAATATGGGTTTTCGCGTACACACCACCGATTAGAAAAGAAAAAGCTTCACTTTTTGGGTAACTGTGAAAAGAAGAAGAAAGGAAACGCTTTTTATTCGATATCAAAGCTGGTGATGACTGT